CGTTTAGGAGTTTAGGGTTTAGGGTTGAAAGCGTCTAGGAGTTTAGGGCTTGGGGTTTTGGGGTTTACTACGTTTAGGAGTTTAGGGTTTAGGGTTGAAAGCGTCTAGGAGTTTAGGGCTTGGGGTTTTGGGGTTTACAACGTTTAGGAGTTTAGGGTTTAGGGTTCAGGTTTGGAAGCCTTTACCGGGCTTGAGGCCTGGGGTGGAAATTAGCGGGCTTTTGGAGTTTGGGAGTTACGGGGCTGGTAGCTACGGCTAGGCTTATTGGCGGGTTTCATGAGGCCCTAAACGGATGCTGGCCGTGAGGAAGATTTTCATACCCACGAGGGTCTACACCCTAAACTAAACCCTTTCCGCGGCAGTGAGCCCTGATAGCCCGCGAGCAAAAACTCAACGCCGTTTTTTTCGGGACTGTAACTCAAGGTACCATAGTAGCAAGGGCATGTTATGCACTGCTTCCCAGACGAAGGTGCAGCTATGCACTGACAGCTGAGGTTTGGTACGTACTAGCAGCTGTGCCCAGCTGTTCCGGCATGTAGCTCAAGCCCTCCCCATCTGCGATTCCTGTCAATTTCATAGAACCATATGACAGCCTTGGTGCGATGCCAGTCTGCAGTATTTTGTCACTCCTCATGAATATAAGTCAACGCAGACATACCATAACAGTTTAAAGCAGTAGTCGAATCTTTTCATGGCTTTTGTTTTGTGTTAGGAGTGTCCTACGGAACCCTGAGGAATACTCGGGCCCCACAATACCTAAACCCTAAACCGTAAACCCCTAAACCCTAATATAGGGCTACCTCTGATGGATCAGGCCAGTGGCGGGGTGCACGGTGACAACCGCTTAGCGGGCAATTCGCTGCTTGAGTGTGCCCAGGCTTCAAAGCTTTGAGTTAGGGTTTAGGGTTTAGGGTTTAGGGTTCATGCCAATTTGTTTTGTGGTAGACCACTAAACCCTAAACCCCAAACCCTAAACCCTAAACCCTCAGACTATGCGAAGTCTGGTGTACGCGTTTCTGTGGAGACGGCAGGGAGACTGCAGGGTTGCGTCCCTAAAGATTCGGGGCTGTTGTTCTGGTCTTTCTGCGCAGCTGAGATGTTGACGCTTCAGACCGCTTCGGAGACTAAGGTTGACCTGATGAAAGTAGGGGGTCCGGGGATTGAAGTTTAAAACAACGAGGGCAACGAATTCAGCGACCGCTAGTTAAAGATCAAACCTGTTAAGGCTCTATATTCGGGTCCGTTACTGTCTGAAACTCCACACCCAGCAATGTCGAATCGGGAGCCGAGTCCCCTCCCCGTGCTCTCTTTGTTGCAAGTGGGTAGTTCCCTAAATTAGGGTGCCTTTTAGGGTCCTTAATATAGTACGGCACTCTTATAAAAGGGACCCTAAAAAGGGACCCTAATTTAGAGAACTACCCACGTGGCTCTCCTCTGACTAGACATCTTCGAGGCTTTTCACATCGAAAGAGCGAAAGAGCCTGAGGCACGGTGTTTGGTCGGCATGTGGGCCAGTCGCTGCCCATCCGCCCGCGTTGCTTCCCAGCGTTTAGTAGAGCGGGATGTTTCTTGGTGTGGGGTCTCTGTTTCAGGTGGTCGCTCATCCTTTCAGGTTTATGGCTCCCTGGTTAAAAGGTTGAATCATGGCTTCAGGGTTTGAGGTTTGTCGGTTCAGGGTGTTTAGGGTTTCGGCGGATTTCCGGCTTATGCCGTGTTTCTAAACCCTAAACCCTAAACCCTAAACAAGGATATCGACCCTCCGGGGAACTTGTCGTTTAGTTGGGAGCCCTGAACCTTTGAAACCCTGAACCCCAGATCTCCACCCTGAGCCTTTTTTTGGGTTTAGGGGTTTAGGCTTTAGGCTTTAGGGTTTAGGCTTCTACCCTAAACCTAAACGCTGGGCCCTTAACTTAGACCAACCCCCAACCCCTATGAAAATGCCCAGCCGACCTGCATATAGAATCCTTAAAGAACCCTTAAAGAACAAGAGTCCTGATGCCCAGAGCCTGCGCACGCCAGGCAGCGATGTGCTGCGCGACCAGCCTGCACCATCACCCGCCCCTGAAACGACGTCAGAAGAGCTGCCGCAGATCTCTGCAGAGGCGGTGGACCTGGTGTTTTCGGATTCGGACTTAAGGCATTCTTAGGGTGTAGGGTTCGGATTCAGTGTTTGCGGTATTACAGGGCTTGAGGTTTGGTCATGGGCTGTCTTGAGGTCGATGATAGGAATTAACCGGGAGGTTATGATGTTGTTTCTCTGGACTTTGTGTTTTTGTTACTAAAACGTCTAGAAGGGTTCCAGATTCATGCCGACGAGTTTCGAAACCGGGAATGTCGTCTCGTTGAGCTGAGTCTGTGAACGGAAATCCAAAAGGAACCCCCTAAACCCTAAACCCTAAACCCTAAACCCTAAACTCTAAACCCTAAACCCTAAACCCTAAACCCTAAACCCTAAACCCTAAACCCCCTCTTGAGTCGGCTTAGGGGAGTTCGATTTC